TCTTCTACAGTCCCCTGTTGGTACTCCTGCAGGAACTGAACACGGAAACTCACAAATGCACTCCTTGCTGTTACACCTGTGACCTGTTAATGGCAGTTTGCATTGAGGAGACCCACAGAAGGTTCTTCTTGTCTCACATTGCTCCTGTTCATCCCCCCCCCCCCCAGATTCCTCCAGGACCACTTCAATCATCCCCTGCTCCGGAACAAAACGAAGATCAATGCGCCCTTTGTCGAGATCTGAATCACTTTCTAGGAGCAAATTGCTGCAGATTACAGTTATACGGGAGGGAAAATTGCCCTAACAAGCCCAGAACAGCCTTGCTTTTAAGCATCTGTCTGTGCTGTGATTCTAAATCTCTCCCTTTGGAACAGGCTCTGCAATACAAGGAGGTTTATACGCAGCACAGAGCAAAATTCTTTGGATCAAGAGAAGGGGATCTTTCTGGCAATGGGAGGAGTGCCTTCAAAAGGTAAATTTCACATCCAGGCCCTCGGCAGGTTATGAGCCTTCATTTCTCCTTTGCAGGGCAGCCCCTGTTGCTTTACTTTTCCTCAGGCCGCAGCCTCATGTCAGGATGTGCAATGACTTTCCCCGAGCACTGCAGCAGGCGATGCTCACAGCTGGCGATGTTTCTCTGTTCTGCTCAGGGAAGGAAGAAGAAAGGAAAACAAAACCCAAATGCACACAAGACTACAAAAGCCACTCACCTTTATTTATGGAAATAGCAGATAACCTCAGGGCCGAGGTGGAATTCCTGTGATGCTGAGGATGGTGAGAATGGCTGCAGTGTTCAGTGAGAACAGCAGGGAGGATCTGCTGCCCAGGAAAAACAGATCCTGCAGACTCGAACATCTGCAATTCACAGCTCTGGACTGTGACACACAGGCTGCAGGACTGAGCTTCCCTGCAGCAGAAGGCAGAATGCCTCCATCCCACCCTACACACCTCCAGACTCCAACTCTCTTGCATGTGCAAAAATGAGCCACCACAGGCAAAGGGAGCTGAAAAGCTGAAGCTCACCAGTATGATTTGTCACCTTTGTTTTGAAATGCTTCACCATAGCTGCACTGTGGTTTGGGGAGCTCTTCTGTTATTGAAAGTCTATTTTTTAGTTCCTTACACAGAAAACAGATTGGACTTTGGATCCCAGAGGTCTGCCATTGTGTTTAGGAGCAATGTACCTAAAGCACATTTACTGAGTGGTTCAGTACTCCTTGTGCAGGAGAACCAACAAGGCACTACTTCAGAAGAGTGAGATTCACAACTTGAAAACCCAACAGAGGGCAGTGGGCACAGAAATACCTCGATAGCTGATTCCACTCATGGAACACCAAGTGAAGTGTGTGCTGAGCTCTCTGTAAGCCAGCTGTGTGATCTTGCTCCAGACCACTGCCATAAAAGAGACAACCAAAGAATTCACAGAGTTTATTCTTTAAAAAAGTTATTTAGGAAGCAAAATAATTTACTTCAATTCAAACCAACAGAGATGCATTTCTGAAAGCAGATAATTATACCAAGTTACAACAAGTTAGCCCTTGGATAAAAAAAAAAGTCCAGATCTCAACAGTTTCCAGCTATCCTGGAGGCTGTCTAGGATTTAGGCTTGTGGAGTAATGAAGGACACAGAATTAGAATGTGATTCAAACCTTCATTAACCTCCCTCCTCCCACAGGTCCAAAGTTGCTTGAAATCCAGTTCTTTCTAAATCACTGAAGTGCACTCACAAGACACGTCTACGTAAGCATTACCATCACTATTCAAGTCTTTCTGATGACACTAAGAACAAAAGCTGAGCAATGTTTGTGGTTGTTTTTTGTTTTTAATCAGACCATGGAGCTGGGGCTCACATTAACAAAGCCACAATGCTACACTCCAACAGCTGCTCCCAGTCAGCAGTAACAAATGTTTAGTTCAGTTATTTGCACTGGTAGTTTTTGAACAAGGTTGTTTAGGGTCTGTTCTCCTTAGGATAGTGAGGTTAGATGGGCACGGACACAGTGTGGTGCTGCTAAATCTACATGAGAACATTTGGACTAAATCTACAAAATCACCACTACGAGGAGCTGCCTTGTGCAAAACCATCTGTGCTTATCTTCTAAACAAGTGTTCCAAAGCTTCTTGGGGTTTGGTCCTCCTGCAGTGCAGTTCCCACCAAAGCCAGGGCAGTTTGGCTGACCGTCCACATTCTGCTTGCTTTAAAGGAACAGCTGCATTTTCTATCTGCCAACCACTCCAGTTAAGCCCTGGTTACAGAAGCGCATCACGCTCTGCTCCTTCCTGCCACACACACATCCAACTCAACGCCGCCAACAGACGTTAACCGAGCAAGCTGTAGAACGAGTGGCATCTTAAACTACAGGAAGCTCTAAGAGATCAGAGCACCTTGACTGAAAGGGAACATCTGGTGCAACTACTGAAGGCGGAGCAGTGCTCAAGCGTGGGATGGCCAGGTTTCCTTCTCACCTGGCTGCACCCTGTCATGGACTGCAGCTCACCAAGAGCACACGCAGATCCAGGACACAAAACCTTTTCCACGGTCACCAAAACCTCTCTGCTACAGTAGCAAATCTGCTCATGTGCTCCTCAAACACATCTTCCTTCATCCAAAGAGGTGCCACTGCATTACCAGAGAACTCCAGAAAGCGCTTCAGATATTCTGTTTAAAAATACTGCCTATATAAAGCCAAACCCATGAAGAGATGGCTCCTAAGATAGGACTTTTGCCTGCATGCATTATGCGGTGCATTCTGCTTTAGGTACTGACAGCAACCTTGACTGACTCAAACTACCCACATATAGGCATGTCTGTATGCGTGTATGCAACTAGAAACCAGGTACAACCGTTCACTTCATGCTCATGATGGGCACAAAATCTGATTTTGCAAAGTCACTCTCTAGATTTGACCCCAAAACACAGATTGGAGCACCACCTGTACAAGTGAGCTCTGCAGCATCCTGAAAGTTGATGCAACTTCCTCTCTGGTTCCAAAAATGAAACGCACACCAACCAACCCTCACCAGGGCTCCTTCCTTTTTAAAGCTTTATCCAGCCCAAGAGAAATGGAACACATCAAAGAGAAAGCAGACACGATTGCCAGCTCCTGTATTATTCTGAGGATTCACAACTTTTTGAGTTATGGCTAGTATGTTTTCAGAAAGCAGAGCGTGCCACACAAAGTAGAAAGTTACGACAAATCCCCCTACAAAATGTATTTTTAATTGGCAAATTTGGCCACTGTTCAAACACCAACTGTGGGATTTCCCACAGCCATAGGCAGCAGCACCCAGAGCTGCTCCTGTCTGCCAGGGAAGCAGCTCCACATTTCCCCAAATCATCCAGAAGCCTAACAGACCCACCACGAACTCACCATTCAAACACAATGCAAACTCCACACTGACAGCTTCCCAAAACACTGAATGTATGTGACCAGCTGTGACTCCCAGCAGCTGCTTCTTTGTGTAATTCCATTAAGTGGACAACAGTACATCACAGCTCAAGGAGCAAAGTCAGCTCCTGCTGACACACCTCAAAGAATGCTGTCACGAGGAACTCTTCCTGCACCAAGTTAAGACAGACAAAAAGAACACAGTAAGAAAAACCCACAGACTGCTTGCTGACCACACACAGCTCTCAGTGATCGTGATTCTGTCCCATTTAACCTGCAGGCAAGAGACTGCCTTCAAATTAACTCGAGTCACAGGTGCTGCTATCCCATAATGCTTCCCACCACTTAGTAGGTCACTGGAAAACCATGTTTTATGCAAAAATATTGTGTTAAATTCTTCTCATTTCCATCATTCGAGGATAAAATGAATTCTAAAACACTTATCTGGAGCATCACAGATAAAGTTACACAGATCGATCCTCCGCACCCCAAGAAGAAAATCAGGAGTACAATTAGTGGAGAAAAGAGCACTAAAAGCAACAGTTTATTTTCTCAATATTTCCTTATTTCTGATTTCAGTTTTGAAAGTATAGGAACCTGACTGCAACAAACTGAAATTACGCCTCTTGCTGTGTCTACAGCTCGCACTGCTCCGGCAGATTGAACGCTCCCTCTGTTGGCTGAAGGCTCATTATTCTCTCACCAGACTAACAGGGAATTCAGCTTTGCTATACGACGCTGTCTGACACCACAGAACAGAACCCAGCATCACTGGCACAAGAACTGAGAAGGCCAAGGTACACCAAGGAACCCTGGTGGGTTCTGGTCTCACCTGCACGTCCCAACCACATGGGGGGCAGTGCTGTGTTCTAGGAAGAAGTCACACAGCTCACACAGCACTTCAGTCCTACTTTGAGGCTGTTACAACAAACCCAGAACTGCTATCAGTGTATCATTCATCTCCAGAGCAGACATCACTGAACTCCCTTCCTCATTTTGCAAGGATGCTGCAATTAGAAGTCAGCTCAGTGCCTCTTCCACTCAGCCTGGACACCTGAAGTCTGTGACAACCATTGACCCAATTATAGTCAACCTCAACTCCCAGGCTCCTCCCCTGATAAGGAAGGAGGCTCTGCAGAAAATAACTCAGAATAACTTGCAAGTTACAGACAGAGTTGAAGAACAGCTGCCCAAAGTAACCTCCAGTTTCTAAATTCATTATTGGTCCGTAAGAAATTGTCTATAAATATTGGCAGTTATGTTAAAATGAACAGGTCACTAATTTGGTCCAACCTGAAAGAGATCCAAATGCTGTAGAAAACCAAAACAGAACATACACAGTTCCACGCACAGAGGTGGATGGAAGCATTCTGATGGATCAAGAACTGACGTAGTTCACACTTCTCTTCCTAATTCAAGAGTCTCACAAACACCCGATCAATATTCCAGACTACAAATTCCCATTTTAGCATCTTACCATGAGAAGAGATCACCCGCACAAAACTTGCCTGCTCAAGACAATGAGCACCCAAGAAATTCATCCTTGGGGTTTTCCTCAGCCCAAGGGAACAGCTCTCAACCTCCAACCTTGCGAGCAAACAGGCACTTAAGTTAGCGAAGATATCTCCTTTTTATTACAGAAAAATAAAGGATCAGTTAATCAGTGAAGTGATACTCCTGGCACAATGCAGATGTTGCAGATACACTGGGTGCACAGACAGCAGACATCAATCCGACTGGTGACAGAAACCTTTGTAATGGCAAAATTACTTCTGCCACTCCTCTGACAACACCGCAAATCTGAATCCAATGCAAAGGGGTCAAACGCCACTTCTAGCTTTTACTCTGGAGGTAAAGTGTGATCTTTTTCACAGCATTTAGTCTCTGTAATTCACTTTTCTTGTGACTGGTTTTCTTCTTGAACAAACCCAGACAGCACAGCTAGAAAAGAATCCCAGTACACCAAGAGATATGACTGCTCTGTGAGCTGAGCAAGGAGGTAGATACCAGAGATGTTTTCTTCAGATGGAGCACAGAAAAGGATCCTGTGCTAATTAATTGGTACCAAGAGTCTGGTCGCTGGCACCAAAATACTGCAGGGCATCAGCATGAGACACAATACAGTAGCATTGAGACTTGTCCAGCAGCTACATCTGAACCTGGCATCTGGAACAGAAAGATATCTCTAATTAGCTTCTTCACTAATTTGCTGTAGGTATGCAGTGCACAGTACAAGTCCTGGACTGGTCTACCTCTTTGTACACTGATGAGTGACATCATTGTAAGCACTCTCACCCACCTGGAGCTCATAAGTTTCATGACCCACATTATTTTATTTGGTTAATCACCACGTAGTCCATGTTCCCCAGGTAAACAGCTCAAGATAAGCTGTCAGAAAGGTCATCACTTCCCAGCAAATTCTGACTGCAGCACTGTGCACACTCCCCTTTCTGGCTCAGGTGTTTCTTGTGCACAAGACAGAAATTATACCATCTTTAAATAGTTAAAAAGGAAAAGAAAAAAAAAAAGCATTGATTCCCAAAGGAAGGAGACACCAAATAGATTGATACAGAAGAATCCCACTCTTACCAGTTCAGTCAAAATCCAGGCTACAGCCAAAAGGTGGCTGTCAAAAGAATTTCTTAACAGCTTTTCCTCAAGCTTTGCCATCTACTCACCAAAGGAAAAAAACAACAACTGCAGAAGTAATTAATTATTGGCTCCAGACCTCTGGGAATCAATGGGTTGTAAGAAAAGTAACCTACAGCAGCTCATATTTCAGAGCTGTGCTTATCAACAGCTGAAAGACACACAGAACAGAAGACTTGAGGAAGAAAGTACAGCTCACCTTATCACATCACAATGCAAGACAACCCCATACAGCCTTGATTCCCATCTTCATTGCTGTTGAGCTTTTTCATCCGGTACTGCCGAATCTCTCTCACCAGTGTGTAAAATGCATCTTCCACACCCTGAATGCAAATGACTCACATGAAGCATTCATCCCCAATCTCACAAGATCACGTGGATCCCGTGGCAAATATATATATATATATTTATATTAAATCAAAAGCTGAAAATTTCAAATTGATTTAGGAGTGTTTATTGCTACAGCTAACGATAAAAGAACACGGGAAAGAGATAAACCATTCTTCATTTATTGTACAACCAAAGAACAGAGACATCTTACCTGTCTCGTTTTAGCTGATGTCTCTATGAAGGGAATGCCATAACTTTTTGCTAATTCTTGAGCCTGTTTTGTGTCTACTGTCCTCGTGGGCAAATCACACTTATTCCCAACCAGCACCATCGGCACATCGTCTGAATCTTTCACTCTCTTGATTTGCTCTCTTAGAAATTAAAAATAAAGAAACATGAATTATTACCTGCAAATAACAGCTGTTTTATTTCAAAGAATAAAAATTTATATATATTGAAGCTGGACAGGACAGCAGGGGCTCTGATCTACAGTTGTACTTCTAATAACTCTGTACAGCCTTATCTTGTATACCACACACAACTCTGCTCTGTGTGTTTTGGCCCTCACCATATTCCCACACATTCTGTATGTCAGTTATTCACCCAGACAGCTGCCCCTCTTTCCCCTGACAAATAACACACAGGTGCAGAACAGCTTGAAAAACCTTTTGGAACAAAACAGATTTAATGTTTTCCTCTTATTTAGTCTTTGCTTTGGCTAACAAAAATACACGATGCCTTTTCCAGTCTTTTCTCCTCAGAGCAAAGACTCAGACCGTACCTGTAAAGGTTAATATCAGCGAATGATTTACTGTTGTTAATGGCAAACACACACAGGAATCCTTCCCCAGTTCTCATGTACTGATCTCGCATAGCACTGTATTCTTCCTGTCCTGCAGTGTCCAGAATATCTAACAAGCACGTCTCTCCATCAATGACAACCTGCTTTCTGTACGAATCCTGCAGAAAACATAAACAAATTAAAGGCGATTCAGACAAGCTGCTGCTCCTTCCCACGCCTGACTGCGTTTGGGGGGCTGTAATTCAGAGAACTTTTCTGTTCCCACGCCTCACACAATGAGGAATCCCCAAACCCATACCTATCAGACGCACACGGCACCTGAGCCGTTACCCGAACCCTCCCCAAACTTTCTTTTCTCGCAGCTCGCAGCACAGATCCCTGCGATGACGCCGCTCCGGCATCAGCCGGGCTCACCTCGATGGTGGGGTCGTACTCGTCCACGAAGTGGTTCTGGATGAGCTGGATGGTCAACGCGCTCTTCCCGACGCCGCCAGCTCCCACCACCACCAGCTTGTATTCCGTCATCGCCCTCCCAGCGGCCCAACGCGGAGCGCGGAGCCGCCCGCCCCGGCCGGCCCCAGCCCCGCCACTCCGACTGACCGCTCCCGCACCGCGAACGCGGAACACCCTTCTGTAAAGCTTCCGGCTTCCGGTCCCGGCGCTTCGTCATCACTCAGCGCCGGAAGTGCATCCGCTGCGCCCGGGCACGGGACCGCAACAGCTGCCAGCTGACCGATGGAGGGTGGGGGGGCGGCGCCCAACAAGAAACACGGGCGAGGAGAAAGGAGTTGTTCAAAATCAGTAAAACTTTATTCTATTTCCATTCTTTGCCATTAACAGAAAAAATTGGAGAAAGCAATGTTTGTTTTACAAAGATAATGCATCTCCCAGAGAAGAAAACCCTAAATTGAGAATAGAGGTAACATGAAAACAAAACAAAACAAAAAAAAACAAAAAACCACAGTACTGCCCTCTATTCAAAGAAAGGAACTCCTGATCTTTTTTGGTAAAGTAATACTTAGACCAATCATTCAGTTTTCTTGCTTGATAAAGTGTGACCAAGGAAACGGGGGAAGAGGATGGGAGGTGGGGAGGGAAGGGGGAGGGAAGCACACAGACATCAACTATTTCACCTTGATGAAAGTTTCAATACAGCTATGGAAAGCCTAAGTATTTATTCTTTTACAGTACACTGGGTGCCGGCTGCAAAGAAAAAAAAAAAAAAGGATTCACTTCAGGCACAATTTCTTTCTTTGTAAATTTAAATCAGTAAAAGAAACTGGGTTTAGAAGCTGCAGTGTTCTAAGCAGCAGCAAACTTGTGCATTGTTTTAAATATATTTAAATTACCACACTGATGGCACGCCTCAGCCTTATGAAATTCTGCACTGCAGGCATTTCAGAACACTACAAAAAATGTCTACCCCAGAAAGAGACTTTCACTGAGCTCTAACACAACTTCGCTGGCTAAAGGATTCAAAATTAAATGAAATATGAAAACAAAGTAACATCTAGCCATCATCTTAAGTTATCTGAATGTTCATACAGATCTTCTATCAAACTGAACTTAGTCTCCACCCTCCTATGGTCCTCAGAATTTGAGCAGAGTGAGCAGAAGTGAGCTTTCCACATCCACTTCGAAGGAAAGACGTAACGCAACTGAATACTAAGGCATAGTAAAATACCTTGGCCAAGGTAACAAAGAAAGCATAGGTAAATGTAGTGCAGAATTCCATAAGGTCTACCAGAGTAGAGCTGTCTATAATGTTTACTCACATAGGCAATGTAGATTTGCAGTTACCAGTTGCGTTAAATGCACCATTCAAAACAAGCTTCTAAAATGTGATACTATAAGGCGCCACCTGAAGTTCTCCAGAATGCAACTGTGCATAATTTTAAAATGGTTTCATAAATTTATTTTAAACATAACATGAGAAGGTGTTAAAACTGGTGTAATAGCTTCATAGCTTCTTAAAATTTGGAAGGGATGAATAGGGAGATATTCAGTACCCTTCATCAGCCCCCACCACTTTTCATCCTTCAGGCATTGGCTTTGTTGATCAGTCTATAACACCAGCTTGACGGATCTTTCTCTCTGCACCAAATCCCTGCAAGGAAAAAAACAAATCTTTTAGGTCTGGCATCGTGCTTTAAAGCAGGCTTGTTTTGATCCTACCGTGTACAACATCAGCACGTGGCTAATTCCCCATACTTGGCTTCAGAACCAGAGCAAGCCACAGAACAAGTTGTGTGGGTTGCTCTTCTGAAACTATAGCGTGCATCAGCTGCCTGAACAGCTGACTGAAGTAGTATAATCTCACACAGCAGGAGATTGTTATAAGGCAGTTGACATGTTTCAAACAGTTTTGACTTTCAACAGTAGAAACAAGTTAAACCACAAGCTGGTCATCCTGCAAGCCAGCCCTGTATGTCACACACCTTTGAGTTATCCGGTCCCCTGGGCTGACGAAGAACTGTTAGACGAGGAGCATTGGCATCATCCAGATTAATGTTCTTTAAACGATTAACAAGTCTATCTGGACGTGGAGCAGCAACAGCCTTAGCGCCTTCACTGTAAGAAAGTCAATCACACAGAATCCTCATGACTTCCCAGACATGTGCAAGCTACCAAATACAGTCACTTTCCCCATTAAGGCATCAGCACAGCCCGCTTTGTTTGAAGGCAGACCTTCTGGATGACAGCACGTCTGCTTCAAAACCATTGTTTGAACAACCACTGGATGCTGAAACAGCAGTAGATCAAAACAATATTCTTAGAAGGAGTATAAAGCTGCCACAGTCAGTATTAATGCATGTATGACAGCACTCCCTCCATTTCTGTTGCTTTTAACTGAAACAATGTAAGTCTTGTAATTTGCCAGTACACTGCAGCACAGTAACACTCTGAAGACAGTTTTGAGAAAAGAACTGAACACTGCCATAAAACATTAATAAGATACCTTAAAAATACACACAATTTAGAAGTCATTCAAAAGCAAAACGTGCCTATCCACCCTAGAAACAGCATCAAAGAAGGCTAACGTGCTTACTTGTTTATAAACAGGTAAATCACCAGACAGACCAAGAACTACATAAAGAATTTAATCGCTTTTATCACTCATTAATTTCTGCATAAATAATTTAATTACTTGTCTTTTTTTTTTTTTTTTAAATCCACTCTTAAGCAAAGCTGGACTCTGCTGCTGCACTGCAGGCCCTACAATTGCTGGCACATCTCAAAGCAGAGGCTCTCACTGAAGCCAACCACAATTCAGAGCCCTAGTTGTAGGAACAGCTAGCTCAGTTTGAAAGCACTCTGTGCTCCATTGCTGATGCAGTCTGCCAGATTAAACCAGTGATTTGAAATCCTCACCAGACACGCCACACGTTACAGGCACTGCATTTCCCTGTGCGCTGGTTCAGAATTACTGAGAACTCCACTTCATCCCCAGCTTGTAGTTCCACACCATCCTGTACTTCTTTGACATGGAAGAAGAGCTTTTTGCTGTCACCCACTTCATAGTTAATGAAACCAAACTGAAAACCAAAACATTGTAGTTATTTATTTCCCCTTAACCTAAGCAGGCACAATTATATAGTCATTCTATTACAAATAAACTTCTACAACAGAATACGGTATTTCTACAAGTCTAGCCACTCCCCATGGCTTTCTAAAGGCACATTTAAACCCTGAGGCCTATAAGCAAGCTCTGAAAACTGCAAAAATCCTTTATTAAAGCAAGCTGCCAAAGCTTTATTCAACTAAGATATGCAATGCTGTACATTCTTTTCTAAACTCCACCTTTAAAATTACCTAACAGAAACAATCTCTTTTCTCTCCCGATTATTAGTGGCAGATTGAGAAGCCAGTTATTTTGATTTACTGCTTTACTCGTGCTGTGCCAAGGAAGGCTCTCATCAGGTATGAGGAAAAGTCTTCACCAGAGAGTGATGGTGCACTGGAACAGGCAGTAGGAGCTCACCTTCACTAAAGCCACTCTACACAAGCCTGCATAAACCAGTACTGGGGTTACATAAGCCTAGTTCTTATTTGTTTACAATAGGAGTTTCTGCAACAGTTTGCTTCACAACAGACGTTCTGCATTCAAGTGTTAAAGCAGGTCTTGACCTTCTCTATGCCATCTCCAACAATTTCCCATTAGCAGCATTTGCTCACCTGGTCTTTCACACATTCCACAGTGGCTCTGCGGAACGGTGTGATGTTGACAGCCATTGTCTGCCCATTCTGACCAAGAACACACAGCTGGAACTTTACTGTCTCTCCCTTCTGCAGACAGTCACCTTTGTTTGCCATTCCAACAATTCCAAATGGATAGAATTCTCCTTTCATTTCACCTACAGAATAAAACACACCAGATAAGATAAAGCCTTTTTGTTCTTGAGGGCTTTTAGAATTTATACCTGGTATTTACTTCTATTGTCAGCTTACTACTGTGAATACAATCCTCATCACCCCTATTATCATGCAGCTTATTGCATTTCTATGCTTCCTGCGTGCCAGCAAAGAGCACTTACAGATTTACCTCAGATGAAAACTGTTTATTACAGTTATTAAAGCAAGCTTGAGGTAAAAGCACCAGGTCTTACCATCCTCCATGACTTCAATCATGCCCTGGTATTCAGTCTGTGTTGGATCTACACTCCGCAAAGGACGAATTACTTTACCAGAGTAAACAGTTGGATCAGCTTCTTCAGTGATACCATTCACTGAAAAGAAAGAGACAGTGCAAGAATCAGGAAATTCTTGTCATACTTTTTCTTTTCTGAAGGACTGACCAATTCACATTCACAGTCTGCACTGCAACACGTTAATACAGCACATACAGAACTGGAACAGCTTTATATGTTCCCCTAGAGTTCCCCCAGAACTGGAACAGCTCTAACTCAGAAGCACATGGCAACAGCTTTTCTAATCACTACCACTGTTCCACTGCAGAAGGAGGAGGATACTAATTCCTCATGAAATTAAGAGGCCATACAACTTGAAAAAGCACACTGCAGGATCTTGCTTCTCTACTGCTGTATTTCCAACTCCCTTTCATCATGCAAACTGGCTAAGTATACATTTTGCATCCCCAAAATCCTTAATATCCACATCTGCAATTCCTACTGCAATTTTTTTTTCCCCTCTAAGAAACAGCACAACTACTAGAGTGGCAAAATCATCCAAACTGGGGGTTTTCTTCTATCCCTCCAACTAAAGAGTAGAGGCAAAGGTAAAGGAAGAGTTGCTTCTGCAAACAGTGCTCTTGCTCTGCACTTCCCTTTTAGTTAACACAGGAAACAGGCTTCAGGAAATTTGATGATATTAGTGCTTAGCAGACTCGACTACTGACCATCACATTAAGCATCTTCCTCTTGCTTTAAACTCCAACTGTCATCAGAACTACCAATTTAACCACCAGCATCTGTCAAGACCCTTTAAAGAAGAAATTACCAGGTACAGTCTTACCTGCATGCGTTTTGTTCACCTTTTCTGCACTAACTTTGTTTCCTTTGCCTTTCGACAAGCTGTATTCAACTGTGTCTCCAAGTTCCAGGCTATCAATATCACCACAGTACTCACTACAGGAAGAGAATCACGTGCAAATTTCTTTCAGTTTCGTGACAACAGTAATGCTCATCCAACATTTACACAGGTTGATTCAGAACACATTTAACTGGTTCAGCATCGCACATTTCCAAGGAATTCAGGAAAGCAAAACTTTTTAAATATACAATTCAGAAACTGCATTTCTTGGCCTGAGATACAGAAGCAGAGATCACAGAGAACACTAACAGAAAAGCCTGAGCTCAGCAGAGGTCATAAATGGAAGTTCAGACCCCAAAGCACGTGAACGTGTGAAGCAACAAACACTCATTCCTACAAAAGGAACTGCCACTCACCTGTAGTGGAAGAAGATCTCCTTATCATGATTGGCTGTTTCAATAAACCCAAAGTTATCCTTCAGGGCTGCCACGTATCCCAAAAGTCTCTTGGAAGTGTAATTGCGTCCAAGCATTCTGACAGAAACTGCTGTTTGCAGACCAGTTCTCTTCACTTCACAAACACTGAACTCAACCTGTAGAAGAGGTACGTGATTAATACTACAGACAGGAAAAAAGCACAACCACCAAAAGCAACAAACAACAACCCAAACAAAGCTGCACTGCTGTAATCAACACCCAGGCTCTGCTGGAAAGGCATCTCCTCTCCCAAAATCATCTGTCAATTGCTGACATGTAGGACATTCAAAGAGTGGCAGAATCACAGCTGTAACACCTGGCAAGGCAAGTGAGCCTCCAGCACTCTGCTTCTTCTACCTATCAAATAGATTCTCTCTTACCTTTATGATTTACCTCTGCACTGTACATTAGCAGCTGCCCGCTGAGACTGTGCAGCTGGTTTGGCTTGCTCATTTTAGGTTTTTAATAACAATAATCACAGCATTCATAGCACAGCACCTGAACACCAACAGGTTTTAGGCTGCTATTCCAGATCTCTCAACTCTTTCCCCAGCCATTATCTCTAGATATTTCACTCATAAGTGGATGTTCTCACTCTTCAACATCCACCTTGATGTCTTTATGTTAATCTCTCTCCCCTCAAGTATTCACAAGTGGAGTTGCCCACTGTCCTTATAAGCAAGTATAAGAACTCCTTTAATTAAAACAGTTTGCATAGCAAAATAGTATTTTTATGTGTGGTATCAGGTTTCAAGATGTCTCTTAGTTACACAGAAAATAAAGCTACAAACCTAAGAGAGAAAACAAAGAAATAGGCGACTATGTAGATGCCTTGTTCTTCACTTTAAAAGGAAAACAAATCCAGGAACAAGGCAAAGAGAAGCTCATATCTTTAAAAAACCAAAAAGTATTTCCCAATGGTATACTTAGTTGTATTGCCTTATCTCCTATCTGGGGATTAGCAGATCCTTCCACATCCTTGGCCTGGTAAGGAATGGTCAGTTTTACTCCACAGTCATCATAAACAATTATTCCATCTTCAGCTTCCTAGAGGAAAAAAAAAAAAAAAAAGACAATCAGGTGTTTTATTTGTTTGCAAGCAAGCTTACTATAAACAATGCAAACACCAAACGTTTACTTATTCTGCAACAAATGCAAAGTATCTGGTGAAAACAGACCAATACACACTAAGATGATCAAAAGACACAAGCTTTAAATGACAAACTGTAGCTTTTACCAGGCAGTGGTACTTTATTTCCTCTAACAATACTGCTTCCATTATTTACTGAAAGTTTATTCTATCCTAGTTTCAAGCAGCATGATGAAACAGAGGCTCTTCTCGAGCCCCAGAACCTTAGGTTTCAACCAATTCTAGCACCTTAGCAAAAGGTTCTTCACCAACAGGGCGGTCAGGCCCTGGAAATGTCTCCCCATGGCAGCAGACATGGCTCCAAGCTGCAAGAGCTCAAGAAGCATTTGGACCATGCCCTCAGACACAGAGTTCGGACTTCAGATGATCTGTGTGGAGCCAGGAGTTGGACTCAATGATCCTTCTGGTTCCCTCCCAACTCGGGCTATTCTATGGTTCTACCTGCCACAGTAGGAGGTAGAATCTTCCCAAGTTCTTGGAAGTTATCCTCAATAGAAACACAGAATCACAGAATTGTAGGGGTTGGAAGGGACCTCCAGAGATCGAGTCCAACCCCCCTGCCAAAGCAGGTTCCCTACACCAGGTCACACAAGTAGGCATCCAAGCAAGTCTTGAACATCTCCAGAGTAGGAGACTCCACAACCTCCCTGGGCAGCCTGTTCCAGTGAACACCACTAAGGGTGCTTCTGTTCTACTGTTTCACTTAAGTTAGCCTTCACTGAGTATTGTAATTAGCAATCCAACACAGTCCATATTTATAGAAGATTAAAAGTGGTTCAGAACGTTGAATTATAGACTTCAATTCTGTCTGCAAAGCAACAAACAATATAGTTACTTTTACTTGTGTACTACCTTCTCTTTGCCTTTATTTGGGCTAGTGGCTTTGGCTGGAGTGGCTTCTTTGTCTATAGTGCCCACAAAACGGTGATCTGATTGGGTGTGGAAAGAAACTGTGCCTTTTGGGAGTTTTTTAATCCTTATAGCATGATTTCTTTGGGCAGACAGCATATCCTGAAAAATCAGATCAATGTGATTTTAGACAGACTGCATATAAATGCTTTTGTGAAATCCTCGTTTTCAAAGGAATTGTACCACTCACAGGAACCACAGTAAACTCTACTTCATCAGAAATATGGAGTTGGTTTCCATCCATAATTTCACTGAAGTGAAAGAACATGCGAGCATCCCTGTCAACACACTTAATGAAGCCAAAGCCATCTCTCATCGCAGCAATCACTCCCTGTAAAGAGAAGAACAGTTTTACTTTGTGAACATCTGTAGAAAGACAACGATGGAGCAACTAATAATCTGAACACAAACCTCAAATTCTAAAAAGAAAAAATAATAACAAAAATACTTCTCAATAAGCTTCCTTGCAAACTGATTGTAACCATTGGCTCCACAATCTTAAATGCAAGCAAATCCTACTTACCTAATTTTTTTCTACTTGCTCCCTGATTCATAAGTAGTAAACAGTGAAGATGAATTTAAGCCACAAAAGAACTAAGAAAAACCCAAGAACTGGAAGTCACTGCTACACAAACACACACACACACACACACACACACACACACACACAGGTTAGGTTTTTCCAGCACTTTACCAGAACAGAAGATGTTATTTCATAATGATAAGCACAACTATCTCAGTCACTGTGACCCATTCACCAAGCATAGAAGCCTCACTGCACATGACAGAATTCAGCTCTTTATCACCCTTCTGTTTGATCCTCAGGCAGAGATTGTACAAAGATCAATTTGAACAGAATTTGAACAGTTCTGTATGTAGTTAGCATGCATGCTCAAGGAATCTGGTCCGCCTAAAGTAAAAGATGGCAGTTGAAGATCAAGATTCAAAAGCTGTACCTAGTTACCTCCTCTGATTCTTACGACTTTTCATTGCCTGAGCCAGAGCACCATCAGGTTCTTTCAGTTTTCCTAAGATGAGTTTTTAATTTCTTCATGCTGCATGACTGCTATGCCTGCTGTAACCAAAGAGCAACCTACTCCAAGAGATACAACATATTTGCTTTCCTAGGATGATTTAATTCCCCGAGTAGAAAAAGTGCACAGCATTAATTCAGTTTTCTGCCATTCAGGCACATTTCTACATTTACTGAAGATCTGACTTCAGACATGTCAGCAGACACCAGCAATTTTTATATTGCTTCAGAAACTGTTTTTCACCTTAATTTCCTCTCCTCAACAATAAAAACTTTTAGAAATAGATACTTACCATTTCCCTAGTTTCATTAGTAAACTGGAAAGTATTGGGGAGAACCTCAATATTGGTGGCTCGTTCCAGTTTGTCACGTCTGTCTGTCGAAATATTGAATCGAACGTGGTCACTTTCCAGCAAAGTCACCTTGGATTTTGTATCTTTGTCTCCAAATGGAAGTTCTTTAGGAATCACAAAATCAACTTTGATGCGGCCAGGTAATGGATCATTCTATAAGAGAGACAAATGCAACAGAAGAAGTCAGTACACCTACAAGTCTCAGCACTGAGCATTTGGGTTAGGAAGGCTCGAGTGACCGCTCCCAGATTACACTGCCATGACTAGAATTTCATTTAGTTTTTACCTTACCTATCCAATGCACTGAATTGCCAACAAAACTAAAAATTAACGTTGAGAATGAAGTTGATAACCATACTTACCCTACTTCTTACTGTTGAGTGTTCAAACACACAAAAAACATTCCCCATAGCCTCCAAAATCCCAACCAGCAAAACAAAAAACAAGGATGCAGAGTAGCCTGAACACTTTAGAGAAGTTTTTGTGTACATCCTCTAAGCTAAACATTAAGGGCCACACAACTCTTCTTCACACCCAGATTAACTGCCAATGCTCACAGAAGCCCATAAAGCACACTGTGTTTTTGCCTTAAGAGTCTTCTTTGTTGTTATTTTTTGTTTGTTTGAAGAAAGCATCTTTAACACCCCTCATTTTTCAAATGGAAGTACTTCAAAGCGTAAAGATACACGTCACAAAGCACCACTATTGTGTATTACTCTATTTCCTGGACCTTTAAATTTTAGTAAAAAAAAACTGCTTCCTGTGACTGCTGTCAGTGGTTGGCACAAGTTAAGCAGCCCAAACTTCCTCTTCTACTCTGCAGCCATCTCTGATGCAATGCCTAACAGCAGACTTCCACAGAGAAAGGAGAACATTTGTACTCTGACTGGAAGTCAATGCAGTATTTCCCTTAAATTTAATACCGAAACACACCTGGTTTTTGCTGGGTACTTTTGGAATTACTTTGGTTACAGTTCCTTCAAAGTGTTCTATGCTGATGTCTTCAAAGATGACAGTTCCTTGAGGCAGCAGTCTTACATCTGTTGCAACTTCTTTACCCTAAAAGCACAAAATCAGTCAAACAGCCCTAAAGAAGTGATAAAAACAATAAGATCATTTTCCTATTAACCCTGCTTCCCCCCACCCCCTCCCCTTTTTTTTTTTTTTTTAAAGTGGATTTGAATAAACAGGCAGCTGTCCAGGATCTTGTCTTCAATTTTTACTGGAGTTCATCTTACATTTCTGTCTTTGATTGTAAACTCCACATCATCACCAGGCTGTAAGGCTTCTAGGTCACCTTTAAATTCACTGTAGTGAAAGAATATCTCCTTCACGACATCACCCCTCTCAATAAATCCAAAGGCTTCCTAAGAACAGAAGAAAGCGTTCAGTAGATTGCCCAATCTCTCCATGTATTAGTAACAAAACATTCTAACAATAAGACTTCACCACTTCAGTACAGCAACCTTGAGTGTATTCAGCTCACACTACAGCAAATGCATTACAGGAAACAATTAAACTTTCCTGTTTTCAAGGAGTGTGTGTACTCAAGATTAGCTGTTTACACTGTTTGAGCTAGTTTGCATTCACACTTCCAAGATCTTAATAGCTCTTAATGCACTCAATTTACTATTTAGAGAACTTGACAGGAAAGCATTCCATCTTTTAATAGTATTTTGAAGCTGAGACATCACTTACTTTCATGGCACAGACTACTCCTTGACAACGGGCTTGTTTCTTTTTTAATAGCATAATGTTACGAGCACTTACAGCACCAGTACTAAAGGGAAGAAAAAGAACAAAGCTGAAACGTCTGAAAACCAGAGGCAATGTTAAGATTATATTTCATAATGTCATTTCAGTTCTTGGAAAAGGCACGGAGTGCTGCCCGACTACTAAAAGAGAAAGCATGAGATCAGAAACACGGGATCAACTTACTGTTTATTTGTATCAATTACAAAGTTTATTTTATCTCCTGTTTCCAGCTGAATATTTCCTTCAACATCTTCTGGAGTGTAAGTCAGGTAAAATACTTCCTGTAAATTAACAGTGACTAATATTATTCCTCTTGTCAATTCAAAGGATCATTAGCACATTTTTGTTTAGAAGGAACAACTGCTTTTATATCAATGGATTTAGTGAGAAAACTGAAAATGATCAAACACAGCATGCAAAAACATTCTTTCATTGGGCTGTTTTTAAAATTTGGGCTGAGTCTGTAAAAAGCAACTTAATTGAGAGGTTTGGAGGTGGCCATCTTGAAATGCCAACTTCTAAACTTTCCATGTTCAAAATAAGGAGAGGTGAATGTTACACAATCCAGCTTCTTTAAGTTTTAAAACAGAAAAACATCTGTTTGGCTCTGCACTGAGTTCCCCATAGAGACAGGTGGGCAAGCAAGCTGTAAAATTAACATCTGCTTGTAGCAATTGCTTAAGTATGTTTGGTTTTGGGTTTTTTTTGCTAAGAACTACAGTTCTTAGTGTCAGTTGTCCTCATTCAAGCATGTGTTGTTTTTTTTTTTTTTTTTTCTGCTCACAGACCACAATTACAGATCAGTCAAGAGTTCAAATAAAATACATAAGCTTTACCCCATTACGTTCGTAGCATACACTCCCTGTTGGACTCTGACCCGGGGCAGCTGGAGATTTACTCTCTAAATTGTGAGGAACAGCACACACAACCTACCAGCCAAAAAAAAAAAAAAAAAAAAAAAAAATCCATGGCGAGTCATTCCAGGAGATGCAGTGTAGAAAGCAAATATCGATATCCTCTACTGTACACCTGGGGATTAACTTTAGTTTAAACCACCAGGGAATGTCATGCTGTAACATTTCAATCTTATGGAGCATCTGTTGCCTTGAAGGGTTGCTTGGAGCAAAGAGCTCACAACAGAAACTCTAAATTTCTACTAGAATAACAAAAAAAAAGATTTCAGTGTAACTGAATTCTGTATGTAGTTAGCATGCATGCTCAATGAATCTGGTCCTCCTAAAGTAAAAGATGGCAGTTGAATGCATAGAAAACAGACATCATAGCCACTGACTTGTCCATTTATTCGTTCTTCAGGTAATATTTCTGGTTTGATCTTCACCAATTTAACAGCAATGGGTTTTCCAGTTCGGCGATCAGAAGACACTTCAAATTCAACATCATCTACAAAACAGACACGACAGTGACATCACAGACTGCAATTTTTAAACATTACTAATTGGTTCAGTCTGGTAGTTCACTGCTCATACCTAAACTCAACCAAGTAAAGCCTCTTTTCCCTAGGAAGGATGCACCATTTGCAGTTACTTCTGGAATTGCCCCACTCTAACTGCTTGCCCTGCTGTACTTCCCCCATACTTCCCTGTGCTCACTTAGCAGACAACCTCACACTGGAGGAGCTCAGATTATGTAAAACTGCTACTGAACAGTCTATAAACTTCATTACCACAAACTACTAGCAGCACTCCTACTCTGCAAGACAAACATCTTCCAACTAATTCTCAAAAAAACCCAAAAGCTAAGTACATGAGGCACTTCCAGTCTAAACGCTTGTTTCCACCTTAGTTTTGCAGCTTGGCCTTCACACTGTACACCTTTATTAGAACAGCCACATTTGCATTAAAACATGCTGAAGTAAAAACCAGAACTCTCATCAGGAGTGGCAGATGATGAATCCTACTGATATTTTAACTCATTAATAGCAACAGAACGCATCCGTTCATGCCACAAGATAAAGTGATTTCCTACGGAAAACAAAAGAGACTTGTTCTCATTTGGTACAGAAACTCCAACAGCTGTCTAATTACCTCCTACTTTGAGCTCCTGTAAGTTGCCATTATACTGTGAGCAGTGGAAGAACAGTCTAGCCTGCCGTTCTGAGCACTGAATGAATCCATACGAAGTCAACAGTTTCTCTATAACGCCAGTCTCGCGCAGCGCGGCCGAAGTACCATTGGGGTACCCATTGTGTCCATTGTTGTGGAGAAGGTTTGGATCAAAGCTCATCTATTCAAAAGAAAACAGCAGAAAATAAACCAAACAGTACTCACGTCTCCTTTCACCACATAAACATAACAACAGACAAAGAGCTTATGGAACTGATGGTAACAAGTCCTGAAAGTTTTTTTAAACGGAGTAAAAAAGTGTTCAAGTTGTCTAGCTCTTGGAAAACAATCCTTACAACTCAGACTGGCAACACATCGCATGTTGGTTCCTGTCACCATCACATACAACCCTCACCTTTTGAAGAAGGCAGTCCGTAGTACAACCAAAGAAAGGAAGAGGCCCTTGTGGGAAGGCTGACATGTTTTGATTTTAAGCCATCTTAGAGTTCAAAACATTTTTGGAAATTAAACCAGCCCTGCAGGTAAAATGACTGGGGGAAGGGAACGTGATGTATTATTAAACTCATTTGCTGAATAACAGGTTGATGGTTTTGCCTATTACGAAAGCTCCAATCAGTGCTACACACGCTTTTTGTGAGTCATGGACAAAATCATCTCTTCACATCTCCAGTGTAAGCTAAGCACACACACACACATCACCCCCTGCTAACAGGGAGCATAAATAACAGCTTACTAACAAAATCTACCTCAAACCAAGTTCAGAATGGCCAAGGCTCAGGGTTACAAAACAACACTGCTAACTCTTGCTCAAACCACTACTGATCAGAGCTGACCACAGATCAGCTAAAGCCTGACAGCTGAAGTTCAAGGAGGGATGCACTTCTCAGGGTGACACTAACATGTGCTGTAGAAAGAAAGGCAGGGAATGATGCTATCAGCACTCTTTCTAGATGTTGCCACGTTGCTACAGCTGTTCAAACAAAGTAATAGAGCACGACAAAAAGCTACATATAAATTAATTGGGGGAAAAAAAATAAAAATCAACTTCTGCAAAGTGATAGATACAGAAAAATGGAAGCAATGGAAGTCATGAAGCTGTTCTCTAAGAACCAGCTAGCAGAACAGTTCTTTAAGAACCTTCTAGGAATAGACTAATTAATTAATGCACGAACAAGACTTGCTCAGACCTGAAATATAATGAGTGCATGCTGAACCACAACTAGCTGTGGTGCTGACTACCAACAGTTTACTCACAACAGCTGGCCCATCAATTAACAAACCTTGGAACTCCAGTACTTGGAAATAAAAAAACAAACTGTACTAAAAGAATTAAAGGAAACTGAATGGAGATTGCAAACCAATGACAATCGTGTAAACTTTGGAAATAAAAAGGGATTGTAACCACAACACTGCTACTAAAATAAACACGAAACTGTAACATAGGTATCACCAATTCATCACACTACCATCAAACCAACAGAATAGCCAAAAAAACCAACATCACAAAAAGCACAGCCTCCTGTTGTTGTTTGCAGCTAAGTTTGGAATGCTATAACTACACAGCACACGCACAAACCTCGCAGTGATATTCAAATATTGCACTTTCAGTAGTATTCGCCGATTCTTCCGCTTCAGTACGAAGTTTCAAAGGATGAAGACTGCTATTGACACAGAGAGAGAAAAGAAGAAAGATAGAAAGAAAAAAAAAAAAAAAGAGAAAGAGAGAGCACACTAATAAAGAATACAAGCGCTGCTGCCCTGGGCAGTTTCAATACAGCACTGGAGAAAACAAAGACTACTAGCAGCGTTGGGACGTGCTCTTTTGAAGCTGTTGAGTAGGCACAAACTTCTGGTTTCAGATCAAGCCTTGTGTCTTCAGTGTAAGTTTCCTATTCTTTGGTCTTGAGTTGTTGTTACGATGCGGTATATTCTTTTCCTGATCTGAACTTGAAGCAGCAGTTTCAGGTGGTAAATTCTGTTCTGTTTCACTTCATACTGGAAAGACAAAAAGTTGTGCGTTGAAGTACAACTTTAACAGAAATTACACATCAGCCCTATGTGGGTGCAGATCCTCCACTTTGATACCATGGGTTTGATTCAAATTAGGGGAAGCTGGTTCATATATTTATTTTGTATTCCCATTTTCAGTTCTGATTTCCCAAGAAACTCTACCTCCATACCAGTGATACACGATTTCTAATTTTAAACACTTCAGATGCAGTTACACATTCCAGGAAAGGTCCCAGTTTGTACCAACTAAAACAGCAACTTCATTTGGATGCAAGCTGATTTCGCCAATGTAAGGAACCACTACTTCCCAATTTACGTTGAGCTCTGAATTTCCTTTAGTGAATTATGAAGACGGAACTGCAGACTTGGAAAAAAGGAAAAAACAAACTTATGTGACTACAAAGACACCCTCACACTTATTGCGGTGAAAATGCTGACTGCAGTTAGCCAATACAGAGAACAGTTCTGAACCCCCAAAGCTTACAAAGGATGCACTCAAACTCAACGCCTGTTTTTCACAGAAGTACTTCAATGACATCCTCCACAGAAAACATCTTCCCTCTTAGAACAAGTCCGGGCTGAATAAGTCTTCTTGCAGTACTGCACATACACAAAAACTAAATGAGGGCAAAAATCTGTGCCCAAGTACAAACCAGCACCCAGAACAGGCTTGCAGTGAAGGACTCAAGTGCAAAAAAACTGAAATAAGTTAATGCAAAAATAAAAGACTCAGCACTGTTCTCACATATCTACCTCTAATATTCAAGCAACCTTTATCATAACTCCATCCAGGATAAGGTAAACATCCCTCAATCAAGTCCAAGAGAAATGAAGCAGGCATGCACTGCAGCACAGGAACTGCACGGAGACACCTGGAATCTCATCATTAATATTCACACTTCTCCCTCATCTGATCAGACCAATATCATCAGAACTCTTCCAGCACTACAACTTACATCACCTTTTGTAGCTTTCAGGGCATAGAGTGTATACCTACATATAACAATCAAAATATTTCTGTCTGCCCAAAGATAACTGAAGTAACTTTTGTCAAGTAATGGCATGAACCATCAGCTTGCCCCCTAACAGCAGGTTGGACTCAATAAATCGTTTCCTGTATTTAGGTCATTACAAATTAAAAAAAAGAAGAAGAAAAAAAAGCAGGGATATCAAGCCTGCAGAAGTTAAGTAAAAAGCAGTGCATGTATACCTCAAATTCTTTACTTTTTAATGCAGCTACTATAAATACATCTCCAAATGGTAAACACGCTGAGCAGGTGCCCAGCCCCCACATCACACTGGGTTCTGAATTTGTGTATCTACAGCAGAATTGGTTTATGCAAGGACAAGGAGGAGGCAGGGCTGGAGATGTGCTGCTCCTGAGCTCTTTCATTGTGGATTTTGCTAAATGACAGCAAGTTGCACAGTGCTGCTCACAGCCTGAAATGCACGCACAGACTCACAGCAAAGGCTGCCAGATGACAGACACTTGCTTTGGTTCTCATTTTCTCCACAAGCACAGGTATGTAACCACAATAACATACACTCATAGAAAGGCCTGGGTTGAAAAGGACCATAGTGATCACTGAGTTTCAATCCACTGCTGTGTGTAGGGTTGCCAACCAGCAGCCCAGGCTGCCCAGAGCCACATCCAGCCTGGCCTTGAATGCCTGCAGGGATGGGGCATCCACAGCCTCCTTGGGCAACCTGTTCCAGTGCCTCACCACCCTCTGAGTAAAAAATTCCTAATATCCAACCTAAACCTACCCTGTCTCATTTGAAGACCATTTCCCCTTGTCCTATCACTATCCACCCCCATAAATAGCCATTACCCCTCTTTCCCCCTCCTGTTTATATGCTCCCTTCAAGCACTGGAAGGTTGCAACGAGTTCTCCCAGCCTTCTCTTCAAATAAAAATCACATTCCACAGACCTCAAGCACAGGCTAACTCTCTCTTAGGCACGACCAAACCTAACGAAGACAAAACATTGTATTTTTAGTACGTAGGCACAGCGCAGCCACCAGATATCACTGGGAAACAAACGTGGCCATCTGAGGATGCGTGACGTGTGAGGAGCGCCGCGTGCCACCTCCTGAACGCTGCAAACAATGCTGACAGCAGAGATAGCGCTCAGATATTCACCAGATCGCCCATGGCACTCGGAGATTTTAAGAAATAAAAACTCGAAGAAAATATCAGCGGTCATTTTTGTGCATTTAAGCAACAACCCAGAA